ACCAGCACTTCACTCACCAGAACACATCTCATTAAGCATGTTAACTGCATGTAAATAGCTATGAGTCAGCCTCAGACAAATGTGCAGTGGTACACCAAAGATTAGAGCACCATATCCAAGATGTGCTGTTGTTGTCATCCGAGAATCAAAATAAGGGCACAGTCAAACAGACGGGAAATGGCAATTTGCAGCTTATGTATATTCAAATTTTCATCATTGATATTCAAATCAAGGTTTTGCATAGAAGTTGTTATTGCGCAAACATGTGCCTTGTTGTTAAAGCAAAGGAATGACTGTGATGTTTACTAGTTTACTGACTTTCACTTCAAAGGCCTGTCCCCTCCACAAATAGTAATGACCCTTTACTGTCCTTTATCACTTGTATTAAGATGCACAATGAAGGAATTACAGCGTCCTTCAGCCATCATGATTTGCATTTTTTTTTTTTTTTTTTTATGCAGTGTGACGCGGAAGCCATGAAAATGTCACCAAGAGGAGATGGAGCTCTTTCTGCCCTGTGAACATCTCCGTGTTATATTTACAGATAAATAAGCTGTATATTTCAAGTGGTGCCATCGAATCCCTCTGCAGTTGTTGCTATATTACATCTCTCTCAGTGGCTCAACAGTATTACGTCTCCAAATGACAACCTTCAGTAGATGACTGCATTACATGATCTGTAATGTGCCAGGGACTGAATTTCATGCAGTGGCTTCTCTCCTCTAAAATGCCACAAGGTGCCCACTGCTGTGCCACTGAGGGGAGGTGAGGAAGAAGCTTGAAGGGGGGAGGGGGGAGGGTTGCAGATGCAATGTGGTAAATAGATAGCGACCACAGATACTTGGAGGCTCAGAGGTAATAAAGACTTTGACCTTTACAGTGGACAGATTGTCACTTCTGGTTTGGGTCTGGACTCTGCGGTCTCTGTGTTTGTGTCTGTGACCAAAGGCCAGCCTACGTGCACCCACCTGAGCCCAACTTTTTCCACGGCTGACTTCTCCCTAAAGGACAAAACGCACACAGATGCACAAATATATCAGTACTAAGCCAGAAGATTTGCCACTGCATGGGGATCGTCATTCTTTTGAGAATAAGCAGGCACTCATTTGTGTTGCTCTCCTCCCCGGTCCTCGTCCTCACAGGCAGAGCAGAGATAGCAGCCTAATCAGGAGGTGATGACAAACCCGACAGATTCACAACAGCACATAACACCCTCCCTAACCCGTCACACGGCTGTCACAACTGAGGGCTGCTCCTGTCCACCTTGATATGTCAAGCTTCCCCTTTATCTATACATTTGGAGCACCGGGTTCACAGCGTTTGCTTCAAGAAACTCTCACAATGGAGAAAAGTGCGAAAAAAAAAGAAGAAGCACAAAATCACGACATCAGAATGAGTCTCATCTGCCAGCTTCCATTGGGATACTTTATATTTGGAACATCTATCATGAATAAACCACAGTGAATTAATGGGGAGAAACAATGACAAGCTGTCAACATGGTCCTCACACCCTGTAAATAGCAACACTGCACACTGGTTTCTGCTGCAAATGAAGCCCGTGTTTACTGATTATGAATATTCATCAAGCCTCACCTTATCCCTTCTAGTGATTTGGAGGATCATGAAACTCTTGACTGGGAAAGAAGTGGCGGATGAATTCTGCAAAGAAAGGGGTAAGCACAGCCATCAATTTCCCTCTGTGTAAATATCTCTCCAGCTAATTAGAAACATTAAACCAATTACTCTAATGAACTGATTTTGTCCCTTTGCACGTTTCGGCTCTGTGCTTAAGAAGGCCTTACACATTTTGCTCTGTGGGCGCTGTAATATTGTGATTTATTCCAGAGACACTGAGGACAGCAAGGAAAATGTATTACTCTGAGAGCTTTCTGGCTCATATACAAAGTAGTCATTATTAATGAAAACCATCGGCCTTCATTTCCTCCTCAGCTCCACTATCACTGATGAGGAGACCTCACCATTATCAGTGCATTTTGATTACTACCAAACTTTTCTATTTTTAATGTAGCAGACACACTTTCTAATTAATTTATGCTGCCTTTTAAGCAATTTGCCAGGCCTTTATTTCCCACACTGTAGTATGAAAAAAAAAGCTGAGGTAGTGTAGTCTGACAAATTCTGAATTTGTCACACTGCTACACACATGACTGTTACCCACATGCAGACGAAAGGCATCAGTGGCTTCAAACAGGCAAATAATTTCAACTTTTGCAATAGTCACCCATAAACTGTTCCCGAAGCATGAAATGGAAAACATTTGCTGGAAACCAAAATGCACTGATGTGGAGAACGTTATGACAGGGAACATCCTGTTCACTCTGTGTAGTCTAACGATCCCCACCCAGTGGAGGGGCCGGCACAGTGCACTGCAACAGCTCATTTGGCAGCACTGAACTGATATCTCCATTTCTTCTTGACAGTTACAGGAAAGATATTCAGCCAAAGTTGCCACATCATTTTCTAAAAGAGGAGATCTAAAATCCCCAGGAAAGGGATTAGCAAATAAGTTAACCCATTTGTGGGGAAATGTATTGTGAAATCTTTAGCTAGGAAAATTCCCTGCATGGATTAATCATTTTTCTCCTTTAATTGCAAATCAAAGCCTCCACACAGCAACAGATGCTTACAGAATACGTAAATCAAGCGTGGCCAGTAGAGAATTGCATCTGTGCTTTGTACATGAAGAGAGGGTGGGGGGCCAAAATCCTAGCTGGCCAATGTACTGTAAAACCAGGGCTTACTGTGGGGTCTGAAATCCCTGCATGACAGCACTGTAATTTCATTTACCACGCCTCGGCACACACCAAATCAGACATGGACGCTCCCCATTCTGCAACTGGTGTGCAGGTTTTCAGTGGGGGCTGGGGGTTAGGGGTGGGGGAGGGTCAGAGAAGCAGCTAAGGAACACTGGAAGTAGTGGTGGGGTTTTGATTTCCAGTGTTGTAGTGGGTCCTCAAGTGGAACAAATTCTGCACGCAAGATCAGGTAAGAAAAGATTGGTACATAGGAGAGGAGTGACAGAGGAAAGGGGAACTACAGGTGCAAACTGCCAACATACAAGGGCTTTAATGGAGGAACGAGGAGGGAAGGAAACCCAGGACAGAGGAACAAACTGAAGTCATCTTAAACTGGCTATTGTGGCTACTCAAAAGAAATTAGGTTTAAATCAATGGTGACATTAAAGATTTTCTTGATGAAAACAAGGAGTTTTTCATTGTGTGGACAGTTTTCTATTCAAATGAGAGTGGTTTTCAGTAAACTCTGGATTCAAGTCTATTAGCAGCAATTATCGATAGTATGGGGACATAATATAGAGTTGAAAAGTTGCCAGTAAAGTTTTTTTTTTTTTTTGTCTTTGTTTAAAAAAAATATCCAAGAGAGATTTTTACTGTGTCAACCTGACTTTGAGGGCTGTAATGACACCAGAACTTCAGGCTATTTATAATCTAAGTATTTAATTCAGATTGAAATGGGCTACACCACAGACTAATTAGATATTACACAAAGACCAGTTACTGAATATTTACACCAACTAAATTCCAGGTGTATGTTTGTTTACCAATGATAAAACTTAACATTTTAAATTGCATTGCACTAATATAACTGATAAGACAAAACCGTCAGAATAAATCACTAGCTAACGTAGCTAGCGTCGGTTAGCTTTACATAACTCAGTATTACCGCCTTATTCTAAACTGCATGGCATATTTATCCATGCAAGCGTATAAAAAATAAAACAAAATCATACTTACATTTACACAAGATTATCAGTTGGTATGAAGTTTAGTAAATCGATTAGTTTATACCCGCATGTTATGTTACAATCAGTTGACTCCTTTTGAACAGCCAATTTAGACAGATATATACAACTTACACATTACTTCAATTTATTTGCTAGTTACTTTTCGGTTTTAACGTTGAAACCCAATTTAGTAAATCACTAGTTTGAAAACATGAAGCATGAAGGTACCAACAATTTAGAGGAAGTTAATAAAACAAGACACTGAGGCACAGCTAATGCAACCCAATCCCCCTTTGTCCTGAGGCACACCTTCACTTTCAGTCTTCATCTCGTCAAAACCAAGGCAATAGACAGCGCTTTGTCAGGACAGACTGTGGTTTGTCATAGCAGGCTCAAGTATTCTGTTAATGATGGCTCCTTTCCATTTCCTTGCCAGTGAAGCAGTGGTATGCACTATAACATTGTCCCCCGCCCTGGTTCACCTAAGTGGAATGCATTGTTATTTCATATTATGAATTCAACCCGTGCTTCTGCTGCTATGACCAACTATGGAAAAACCGTCTGCTGTGAAGGTGCGTTTTTATCTGCGATGTGCTGCATGAGCATATAACTGTGACAAAACTCTCACAAAATCGTCTCTTTGTGCCCTGTACCATGACAAGAAATCCAAGCCAGTGTTCTCAGTCATCTTCGGTTCATCAGTACTAAAAAAGCAGCAAAGAAGGGACACTGTGGGCTGTGTGACATAATAAGGGTACAGACAATTGTTTGAGACTGGAGGGCATACTGGGTCAATTGTCAGCATGCGAAATGACAGTGCTGCTGCAATGAGCTCCCATTAGGATCCCAACTGATCGTTTTAACCCAGCGACTTCAGGCAGTGCATTAGAAATGTGCTCTAGGATGGTGTCAGTCATTACACATGATGTTACTGTGCTTAAATGATTTTGTCATGAAGGACAGTTTGTCGGATTCACTGCTGAGATCAGTGTGTGTGTGTGTGAACTATGGGGCAAATTTCACGTCCCAGAATCATTGGGTCCTTAATTGATAAACTGACAGCCATATTAGATTATAGTATGCCGGTATAAATAACTATAAAATAATTTCTTTTGTGTGATGACCAATAATTAACTAGTATTTTGGTGCGATTACACACAGAATTCACACATTTGATTTTGATGAAATGAATTCACTGCAGGTAATGGTAAAACAATGTTAAAAGAGACAATAGACGCAATTTTATGCATTTATTCATGTAGTTATTCCACTCTGATTCAAAGGCTCAAGGCTGGGTCAGCAATTTAATAGCCAAAAATACTCTAGAGTTTATGGTTAATGTTTTTATCTCCTTCAGGTTTTCCTCTTCATTTTTTGTACCTTCCTTCCTTAAAAATGCCACAAAACTTTGAAAAGTGCATTTTTGTGAATATCTCCAAAACTTCTCAAGTTGTCCATATACCCCCCATAAAAATGTTCCCCGTCGTCAAGGCTCGTGAGGTCACAAATTTGCAACAAGAAACCACCAACATTTTTTCCCCAAAGGTTTTATAACCATCCTGTTCAAACAACATTCTCTTTTTTCTTTTTACACAGCCAGAGAACAAAAAAGATTAAACATAATAAACTCCCAAACCTTTTGTACAGAGAAATCAAACTAAATGAAGAAAACGTCTCTTATATTAGTCCATGTTTTATCCTCTGAATTCGCTCTTGCATTTGCCATTAAATTGGGAAGGGAGACACAATCGTGTCAACATGAGGCTCTCTGTGTTGTATGCAATGTCAATCAGTCCATTTCACTTGCTGGTTTTATCTGTTTTATATGGAATAGAAACCAGTAAGTCTAGGCCATTCAACAAGTAATCCAGAAATGTCTATGATGGTGTGTGCGTGCGTTCAAAGGTTATCAGTGTGAATGTGTCAGGTGTAGGCAAATCTAAATCAACTGTTTGTATGCATGTCTGAGTTTGTTAAGAGTCTCATAGTTTAAGCCAGTCCAAATCCTTCTGAGCATTCCTGAATGGCCAACAGCAGCATATGTCTCAGCTTCTCATAGCTCTCATAGGCTGGGAGGTCCAGCTGGTTAAAGCTGGAGAAAGAGAAAGATCATTTCAGTTAAATTTTCACAGTTTTGTTGTTACTTTTATAGTTGTTATAATTATTTAATATTAGAAATTTATTTGTAAATTTGTCATGTGTGTACCAGGTATGAGCAGATGGCAGGCGGTCAGTGGAGCGATCGTCGCGGTGGATCTGGAACTTCTGGATGCCGTTCATGCCCTCCAGAGCAGCAAAACCCTGGAGGGGAACCTTGGACGTGCCAGTGACAAACTGTAGGAACTTGGCCCGGTCCGCTTGGTCAAAGGACCGCAAGGCCCTCCAGAACCACTGAATCTAAAGTTAAAAAAGAGGAGAAGGAAAGATAAAGTAAAGAAAGGGATGAAAAAAGCAGTTGAGATATAAATGTGTTCCAATACAAAATCTAGTCTCTGTTATTGTGTCTGGGGGAACAGCAGTTAATGCTAGAAGTTGCAAGGCATTGGAAATAATGCCAAAATAATAGCAGCTCTACTTGATTTCAAACAGTATGCTGCCAAGTCTGGATTTTTGGTGATGACACAGCTCATTTACACAGCATTGCACTGTGACATGCAGTATTGTACAATGAATGTGGTGGTTCAGCAGAAATAGTTCCACAAATAAAATGTGGCTACATCAGTTCTACTGGGCTAGAAATTAATCTAAAATCTGGTAATGCAAAGCTGCCCATTTGACTGAGCTGGAGAAGTCCTGTGTGATTTTTCTCTCAAGATTTTCAGTTCTCACACACAGGTAGAAGTGGGTAGATATTTCCATCATAATGTTACATGTGTTAACTCATGCATACCTGGATGGAGCTGGACTGGTATTTGTGATATTCAGTGTTGGCCTTCAGGTCATCGATGTCGATAGTGGGCAGGCCCGAGATGAGCAGCTCCAGCTCCTGCTCAGTGAAGATGGAGATCAGCCTCTTGGGGATGATCTCATAGAATCCCTCAAGGAAGGCTGCCAGCTGCTTGCGGATTGCACCTAGAATAAAGGGAAAGTATTCGTTCGGGGATCTTTCTGTTATAGAGAATATTCTTTACCTCACATGCAACTAATGTTGTGCTATCACTTAATTTGGTAGCTATTCATTTTCAATTAAGCAGCTGAAAATTCAATTCTTTAGTGAATAACATATTTGAGTAACAGCTGGAGGATGCTGCTCATGATAAATCAGCCATTTTACAGAGAGAAACACCACTGGCTCTCTGCTGCATATTGATCAGTCCAACATTTAAGAGTGGTGCCACCTAGTGCTTTCTTTGAGTATCACAGAGAACATCTAACCTGACGCAACATATGGTTTATTACATAGCACTAGAATACAGAATAGGCAACTGTTTGATAAAGGGCAGGTGCTTGTCAATACCGTGTGCACATAATAATAAAAAAAAAAAATATAAAATAATAACAATACCTTCTCTATATAATGATATATATTAGTAACTATGTTTTTTTATCATTTCAGGGACAATAACAGCTGTAATATGTAATAACTACATAAAGGGGGCTTATAAAAAATTATAATAAAGTGCTTAATTTTACAAAATGAAATAAAATGTGTACCTTAACTTTCTATTTTATTTATGGTTAACAGCAACGACGGTCTCATCTCACATCTTAACAACTGAACAGCTTAAAACACATCCTTTTCCCTTTCTTTCCCTCTTATGTCCCACTTATTTATCTGGTGTTGTCTCTCACCATTTGTGTATTGCACTGACTGACTCAGATCGTAATAATTGGCCGAGTAGCGCCACATGACCAGTGCCGAAAAGGCTAGAAAAGCTGCAGCGGTTAAAAAATAACCAGTCTGTCAAAATTTAATAATTCTCAATAATTTATAGGTTATATGTCTGGGTCCAAATAGGCAGGTGTCTGGGTCTGGATGCGGAACACGGTCCACCTAGTGACCTCATCTTTCTAAGGAAAATTTACCAAATATACCAAAACTGTTGCCTCTCTGTAGCTGCCAGGTATTCCTCTATGATAGGACGCCGATTAGTCCGAATCACTGGACCTCAGCCACAAGTGAATAACCTAGAGCCTGACCAGATGCATTCTCACATACAAGAAATCCAGCTGCCTTGTTATGTTTGAGAAAATCTGGGTATCTGCCTTGAACATTTAAAATTAAATTTGTTGATTAAAAGATACAGATTAACCCATTTGCACTGACTGAAATGAAAGATTTGGTGACATAACCAGTCTCACCTGTCATCTTCATCTGGCATACCAGATGGACATACTCTTTTTTGTTTTCCTCTGTGACCAGGATATTGGCTCCATTTGGCTTGAGGTCTCTCACTTCACACACACCAAACTCCTGGACCTACATGCACAGAGCACATGAACACTTTCAGTCTCTCACATCTTGCGTTGAGTTTCATCTTAATATCTTACTGGAAATCACAGATGGTATCCATTAACAGTTATTTTAATGCCATCAGATTTCAAATGACACTTCTGCAGCACTTATTTAATGAGAACATAAAGCATGTGGGATTCAAGCCCTTGAGGGCAAATCCCAATTTGAACAGTTAAGGCAATGATAAGAGTATGAGAATCAATTTTCCACTTGTAGCTAATTGGAACATTTAGAGAACAGACACCAACCTCTGTGCTGAATGTCAGCTCATAGCCCAGTGTGGACACATCATTCTCCAACAAGTATACCAAGCCCTGGAAGAATGGGTAGTCCTCGCTCTCCATGTCTGTGTACCTGGGAATACCACAGAAATAAATACATATTATTCATATATTCAAGAAAAAGAATGCAAACTATAACTAACCAGCTCTATGGCTGCTACTACATTTAGTATAACAAGCAATATGGCTGAGTTTGTTGGAATTATTGGTGTTGGAACATGTCTTGAACATTTAGGTTACTTCATTGTGAGTACAAGTAGCCCAAATACCTGACACTCTTGCCCAGGATGTGCTTGTAGAAGCTGCGGGTGAAGTAGCACTCCAATAACCGGTTGTCATAGACTGCCTTGGCCACCACGCGGCCCACAAACTTGAAGTAGCTGAGGTGGTTGGGGTTGCAGTGAGATGAGGGGTTGATGGTATAGGTGACACGGTCACCTGGTGAAGTGCGGAACAGGGCATACATGGGGTTGAACATCTCCCGGGAGATGATCATGTACCATTCCCTCAGCAGGCCACCAGCATCCTGGCCCTCCTCCCCTTCAAACACAATGTACCTGTAATGCAAAGGGAGCAGAGAATGGCTCAGGTTGAGCAGTTCTGAATTGAGAGGACATACAAGTGGATAGAAAGGCAATGGAGCCTTACAGCCTATTTTTCATGTCCTCTGGGCTCTTGCGATGCAGCTCCCTGTAGGAGTCCTCAAACACGTGATCTCTCCTCACATGCACAGCCATGTCCTCCTTCCTCAGGCCTTCGTCCAGTCGCTCTAATTCCTGGCGGAAGTACCTGTAGAGGTAGCCAGGAAGACCAGAGGGTCAGTAAGTTAAAAAGCCAATAACTGTCTATTAGACAGTATAAGATAGGAGTGTAAGATAATCCTCCTTACTTCCTCTTAACGTCAAAGTCCAGGATGCGTATGTAGTCAACCAGTACTGCAAAAGGCCCATCAGCCAAGTGAGTGGTGGACTGGCGCAGGATCTGGTTAAGCACTGTGCGGTGAGTTTCTAAAAAGAAAGAAGAATGAGTTTTGTTATACACTGGGCTACAAAATAGAACAAAGCTTGATCCTTCTCCTAACAGAAATCTCTCAGGCTCACCGGCAAAACGGAGGAACTTCTGGGTGTCCGGTGGCAAGTTGGAGGAGATGTGCATGGAGGATGGTTCCCTGGAAAAGAATGGGTCTAGGGATGAAGGTGTGGCAGGTGTAAGGGGTGCTGGGGACAGTGGTGGAGGCTCATCTTTGATGTGTGAAAGCTGGCTCTCCCGGGTGTCCCTAACAGGAGGTTTGCTCTCTCGCTCAGTGGCATGGACAAGGAAGAAGGCCTCCACAGCAGGCTGGAGAACTGAAGAAACAAAGGAAATATCATTAGGGGAACAGATCAATTAACCATGCTCCTTCAACAGACATAGACACAATATGAATCAAACATAGCAGAGAGAAACACATTTCCTCAGAGGGATTCCACCTACCCAGTACAGCATGCTGGTCGTGGGACTCCTCCAGCTCTTTTAGGCACTCCCCAAGCATGTCCCATAGTTCATCCAACAACAGCTGCTCACTGAGCAGAGGGAGGTCTGGAAGTCTCTCCTCACTCTCTGACTGGCCATTTCCTTCTTCATCTAAAAAAGGCATTTCCAGTATACATTGAATAATTGCACCGGTTATGCTTTCATCAACCTTTGCCTACTAGAAGACAAAACAATTTTTTTTCTAAATAAAAAGGACTGCTCCAGTGATGATATTTGTCGATCAAGATTATAATTGCCTGAGTTATTACTGAAACATATCAACCTATTCCTATAAAACTTAGCAAAAACCACAATGTTTAAACACAGTGTCTATTCAGCAATTCAACAATTGATAAAGCATTGTATTTAGAGGTTCTTCATCACTGTGCAACTGCTGAACTAAACAAATGAAGTAAAAACAATCCCAGGTAAAAATCCAAAGCATTATATCAGAGAAGGTGATCCCTGGATGTGGAGGGATGAGGTCTCATTTACTGAAGAAAACACAGCACATCAATTTGAACAGTTTGCAAGCAAGTCATACCCAGAGGTGCAGGGTCCTGCTCTAGAGGAGAGGGCTGGTCCACATCCATTGGAGAGTCATCTCTCTGGGCTGCCTGGGCTTCTGACATTGACTGCACTTCAGACTAGAGAAAACAAATCAGGAAGGACCAGAGAGACAGAGGATGAACAACAGGGAGAAAAAACATGGAATAATTAATGATTAACGTAACAGTTTTCTTTTTCATAGTAATCCGTCATGACTGATACTGCCATGCAAAATGAAATTCCCATGATCCACTGAGAGAGGATTGGAACTGGGAATGAGAAGGGAAGGGGGCAGGGCCAAAAGCATGAAGCCATGTCAGCCAGCAAACAGACAACATCAGTGGAACAGATCAAACAGTTTGGAGCAGGCAGCACATTCACATACAGATCATTTCAACAGTAGAACATGTCAATGCAAAGACATTGATGTAGAATGCAGTGGATCACTGGCACATCTGTCCTTCTGTTGGGGCTGTCATTGTTCATCATGGCAGCACTGTAGATGTTGTCACTATGCATGAACCACTTGAGGTAGCAGGCTGTAGACTGACTGCACTACGTTGTTTACAGATAATTCAATTCAATACAATATAAAATAAGACAGATATGCATAACAACTAATGTGTTAGCTTATTAATTTCCAAAACGCACAAAGCCAGTAGGGGCAAAGCGAAATTAGACATGTGGCATGTCAGTAGCTATTAGCCATTTCATAGCATTTATTTTGATGACCATCACAGTAATTTTGAAGTAACTACATTGGGATGGTCACACTATGAAGTCAATGTTATGTTTTCCATCTTTCAAATGATTCCCTTTAAGTGTGTGCATTGTGTGAGTAGGAGTATGCCTGCTGTCAGTGCAACCCATGCTAACCGTGGCAGCAGCAGCCGTGCCAGCAGGGGGAGCAGCACCAGTGGGAGCATGGGGGGCCGCCACTGAAGATCCGGCGGCGACGGCGGCAGAGGCAGAAGAGGCGGTGGGTGGGGGTGCCTGTTGGAGCCGGCGTGCCCGCTGACCCTCTCTCACCATCTGGATGATGGCGTCAGCTTCAGCTTCTAGTTGACGCACCGCAGCCTGGATGCTACTGGCTGAGCCCAAACTGGTGGAGCCTGCCCATTCGGGGAAGGAGGAAAATAGTTTTATCACTCACTACATCACCAGGATATTGTATGCATACATCAAGAATACCGAGTATATGTAACATCATCTAGTCATACCTAGTCGGCCGGTCTGTTTGGCTTTCTTGTTGGCGCGCCGTGTGTCCTCACGGAGCTGGATAATGACCTGCAGCACTCGCAAGAAAAACTTCTGCGTTGATGTCTTGGAGGTTAGTGAGCTCATGCAGGGAAGCTGAAGTTCACGTCCCCCCAGTGTGCGCTTCTGTGCAGCCACAATCACTACACTCTCCGACCCGTCGAACCTGTGTCCCAACCAACAAAGGCATACGAGGTAAAGGAAATTGTAGGTATGAGAAATTAACCTTTATGTAAAAATAGATGCCATCACTACATACTGTAATATCAATTGGGATTGAACTACTTTAGATTAAAGATAACTAGTTGGGACATTAGGTTGTGTGTTGACAACCAACTTCCACTGGGCGGTCTAGAGTCATAACTATCTAACCTGCTGGTCATCTTGCCCTTGAGTCTGGCTGAGATGGAGGAATCCTCTGGAGGGGCATCTGGGGAATGGGAATCAGCTTGTGCCCGTCTCTGCTGCTCCAAGTTGTACTCTCTAAGTTCGGCCAGTAATGTGCCTGAGGGAGAGAACATTTTCAAATGTGTGTGTAAAGACAAAACTGTATTTCCTTAAATAGGAGCATGATAACTGGCACCCGCATAGTTGTCCAGAACTGACCGATCTGTTTGCAAAGAGTGTATCCGAGGTGTCTAGCTCCACTGAGCAGCAGTCTGAGTACAGTGTCTCTGGTGGCACCGTCTCCTCTGGACAGTTGCAGCAGAATATTAGCTGCATCCTCCAGACCCTCCTCTGAACATGAGTGAGATGTCAAAACCTTGTATGGAGAAGGAAAAGAGTAGTTAGAGAACACATCTCATAATTAATATTTCAAGGTTTAAGAAACACAAAAAAACTGATCAAGTGGCATCTATTGAAAACGGTGAACAGGAATAAACGATTTTGTGATTTTGTTAATATTTCATCATGACGGTTCATAAGTACAAGTGCCTGTTTGTGTCACAATCCAATTTTGAATTGAAAAGTTCTCTGAGGACTGTCAATATAATGTATGATGGGTCACTAACTATTGGACTAACTGATCTGTCTGGCCCTCAGACTTGGGGCCACTCGAAGGTCAGAGCTGTGTTTGTTGTACCTCTAATCTGAAGAACCTCCCACAAAGTCAAGCCAAATTAGTGTACATCTTTAGAAAGCACCTTAAAAAGGCCATTTCGATATTGGAATTTTAAAACTTTTCTTAACCCCAAAAGTCCAATATCGGTCGGGCTCCAAAATTAATACTCACACCCACACAAGTCCTAACATAAACTTTGATACAAAACCATGCACATAACATAGCTGGGTGGATTGGGCAGTGTCTTGGAGTAGATCGAGGCAAAGATATATTGCATTGTGATGTGGCAGTGAGGCAGATGTTACTCCCATGAAACTTGTTAAATCAAATGCAAATTTTCATGGAAAAATTCGCACATTAAAAGTAGCAGATGTGTTGCAATTGAATTGCAAACCTGGATTATATTATATATCCCCACACATTGTAATTTTTAGTTTCTCTTCTGAAATTGGACACTGTTCAATGCTGCAAATAATACACACTGTCCTCTAACTGGCAGGCTTCAACTGATCCTCAACAGAAGTTATCCACACTAACATCTTGAAAAAATTTGAAGCTACATTTTTCCATGACCAGCAATGGAATTTCACACACATTTCATGACAGCATGACTAAGATCCTGTGACAAATTTTCAACTTATTTTTCCATACCTCCACAGAGAGTTGAAGCTGTTTCTCTGTGAGTCCAGTGGAGGCCATCTTGTTGTCACTCTCTGTACTGGCAGTAGAGACCCTCTGTTTCCCTGTTTTGGCAAAACACCCCCAAAAATGTACATCATTTTCTACTAATTTCTTTTTTACAATAATGCCTGAAAAGATGATATTTAATTTTGGAATAAATCAACACTACCTGTAGAGGTTGTTCCAGTGGACGTGGGTATAGAGATTGTTGTAGAGGATGTCTGAGAGGCTGCTAGACTTGTCCCTGAGGATGTACCCTGGGCTGCAGCTCCCACAGAGACCCCTGGGACTGCCACAGTGGGCTGGGTAGAGCCCGCTGATGCCGTGCCCTGTGTTGTGACTAGGGCTGTGGCTCCTGAGCTGGTTGCTGTATTGGGGTTGGCAGCCTGCGGGGTGGGGTGTCCAGCAGGCACCTCAGTGGCCTTGTTGTCAGGCAGGGCAATGGATATGAGGGAGAGGAGGCGCAACAGCTTTTCAGTGAGCAAGGAGCTCCGTCTGATTACTGGGTGGGATAGCATGTTCATCAGCTGACCTAGAGGGGAGGTCTCCAGGCTGAACTGGGCCCCCTCAGCCTCTGCACTGCCCCCCAGAGGCACTGTCTTCATTGAGGCTTTGCCCTTGCGGCTGACATTCATGTTGTCCAGTTTGACCAGCAGGTCCCAAAAATCGGTGGAGATACCCAGTGACTGGGGAGTAACAGCAGAGGAGCCAAAGGAGTTCTGTGTGTTGGAGACATTGGAGCTGGAATTGCTTTGAGACTGCGACACTGACCTGGAGGCACTACCTCCACCCCCTCCCCCAGAGGAGCCTGAACAAAGTCGAGAGTCCAGGTCAGAAGACGATGCTGACAGATCCTTACAGCGCTGCTGGGTGAAGTGGCTGGGGAACACCTACAGGAATAGACAAGAAACAAAAAGGATTTCAATTATAACTTTATCTACTTTTTTCTACAGCAAGGAAGATACATACTGTATATAGTGTGGGAGATGTAGATGAAAATAGCTGGACCCTGACCTTAGCTAGCTGGATAAGTGTGTCCAACACGTGTCGACAGACCACTGGAGCAGCTTGTGGGTGGATGTGGACAGTGGAGCCTCCACCTCCAGCACACGTGACACCTGCAGTAGCACCAGACACTCCCAGTGTTCCAGAACCTGTAGAACCTCCAGCTGAGTGGCGGTCAGCATGCTTCCTACCCGACACTCGCTGAATCTGGAAAATGTTTGTTCGGCAGCCCAAGGCTGCATCCATAGAAACAGAAAGCCAGGAAAGCTGGCTGGAGCTGCGAGACTCTACCCTGTTCAGTAGCTCTAAGGAGGATGAGGAGGATGAAGTAGGGAGGGAGGGGGTAGCTGATCCTTTTCCTCCACAGCCTCCCTGGGTCCTCTTGCCACGGGAGTCTTCTAGACGTGAGGTCTCCACACACACCTCACTTTCGCTGCTGCGTTGGAGGATGGATAACAGGCTGCGAATGACCCACCCACGTGTCTGAGAGTGGTAGCAGAGATTCCTGAGCACACGGTGCAGACGGCTTGTGTTAAGCTTCGGTTCATCCACAAAAAGCAAAACCAGCAGGCAGGACAAGGCTTCATGGTCCAGCAGCAATCGGCCGCGCAGACGCAACAAGGAGTCCACACTTGAACTGGATGGTCTGAGGAAACAAAAGGAAGAAAAAACACATTCAGTTTGTCACCTGTCTAAAGTGGTTGATCAAGACCACCTACAACATTTTCAATAACATAAAAGTCCATTTTTACTTTTTTTTGTCATTTAACACAATTATGAAAAATATTTTGGCTCTCAAAATTGATCACCGTCTTCTCTTACCTGTGGTTTGTTCCTCCCCCCATCTGAAATGTGCCTCCTCTCTGCACAGCCAGCCGGGTGTACTGGACGCCACGATTGCTCCCTAACCGACTGGTGAAGGCTGGGGAACGCAAGATAGCTGATAGGGCTGAAGATGAGCTATGACCAAACAGCCTCTCATGCATCAGTTGCCTCTGGCGTGCCTCTTGCTCTCTACGCAACGCAGCTGCTTCAGCAGCAATGTCTGGGGGCATGACAGCCAACACACTGTCCTCCATGTCCTCCAGTACACTACGTCTGAGCTCTGAGGGCAGTGTCTGGATGAAGGTGACTGGATCCAAAGGGGTGTCTCCCTGTGGAGGCTGCTGGGCTAGCTCTCTGCGCTGCTGCTCTGCCCGTTGCTGGGCAAGAACCTAGGACAACCAATGGCATGCTTAGATTTTCTGTGTCTTGCTTCGAAATCATACTTTGTTTTACCACCATGTTGACAGATCTAAAGCCAAGCATTTTGTCTAATCTGTAACACTATAATCTGAGAAGAGTCTCACCTCCTCCTGGATGGCAGGTGGCAAGGCCGCCAGGAATTCTGGGCTGACCTCTGTAACCCCTGGTCCTCCCAGTACAGGCGCAGTAGAGGAAGGCAGGGTGGTGGCAGCAGGGGGACGGGAGGGTGGTCTGATGCCAAGCTGATTTTGCAGAACCTCTCGACGGATGTCTTCTGGAAGAGCGGCCAGGAAAGAGGGATCCACACCCTCTGGCAGACTGATACCTGTCAAGACAAAAACATCACAAATATTATGAGATGTAATACTGCATTAAAAATATATTAAAAACTGCAGGAAAATATGATAACAATTCATTTTACCTGCAAGCGGGTCCTCCTCCTCATTGCTGGTGGATGGTAGGGGCTCTTCCTGTATGGCCTGAGACTGGCTGTCAGCACTATCACTCCTGGGCATCGTTTCTCCAGGGGATGACACAGAAGTAGAGCTATAAACACAAAAGAAAGAAACCCCAAAACGTTATCATCAGTGAGCAAAAATGTGTGTGATGATATACTTTACTGATTTACACAGTGTCAAACTAAGTGGAATGTGCTTAGATGTGAAGATTTAATTGAACCATGAAATACTTCTATTTTGCAAACAGCTGGTTAGAAAAAACAGATGTACCAACTACTGTAAAAAAAAAAAAAAGTTTGATGCACAAACTTTGAATACTAATTGTGAACTGCAATTGGGCAAGAGAAGCTGGTGCTGAAGCTTTTTATTTGTTTTGTAGTGGACTGAAACACGCTACATGCTGGCAATGAAAGGGGGTTATACATTTTACATGTACATGTAATTTTTTTTTATTATTATGGCTATCTGACCAAGAGATATAAAGTGTACATGATACTGCTTTTTAACGCAGATTTGGTTAGAAGTGATTCTTCAAGTTACTCACCCAGTTTCTGCATCTGTCGGCCTGTCAGTCAGCCCACTTTCCCCACTACCAGAAAGCTCCTGAGACAGCTGGGTGGTCTGGGCAGGGTTGGGAGCAGCTTCTTCCTGAGTGGCAGAGGCAGGGCTGCTGGTATCCATGGGTGACCCTTCCAGTTGTGACACACCCACTACTGCAGGCTCTGATGTCTCCACAATGTCTGGACTTAGGGAGGCTGAGAAAAAGGAAAAAAACAGTGTCAGTAAGCATTATGAAACTGTCACTCAATGCACTGTAGAAAAATTCCTTAGGTGATTGGCTTTGTATTTCACAGAGTTCAGAAAATGTCATGATAGACCAGGATCAACAACATCATTTACATTACAGATGTGTGTCCTTACTGTTGGCCAGTCTGTATAAGGAGAGTTTTCAAAGTTAATCTACCTTCCCTGCCTTCATCCACTGCTCCTCCTCCTCCTCCTCCTCCGACTCTCTCACCGATTGTGGGTGCTGGGGACATTTCCATCTGAGATGCCTCCGCTTCACTGTTTGGTCTGTCAGCTGCCGACAAGGGTGGAAGGCCTGCCCCTGCCAGAGCAGCCAGTGAGCTGGTACGTGAATCGGCCAGTAGCAGGTCAGCAATTGGCTGGTGGACTTGCTGACTGATCGCAGTCTCCAAGGAGACTAGGGCCTGTTCATGAGGAGCAGGTGTGGTGGGAGTGACCTCTCCAGATGGGGGAGCAGTGAGGAAGCCCTCTGAGACCCTGGGTGGGTCCAGACATGAGACTGTACCACCCTGGGCCTGCTCACCTTCTGCAAGATCCAGAGAGAAAACTTATATGAAGACAGGGATATAGTTTTTAAACATTCTTTACAAGAACTCAACCTTGCAGATACTCATTCTGAACCTTTTTTTGTACACACAACAGCTACTAATGCTTAATTCTTTAATAAATAGGCCATTATAAGATTTAACAATTACAGAAAACATTTTCCATACATACAATTGCAGCCAAAGAGAACAGAAGATCATTTTCCACACAGATGCCAATAGCCTCTGCTGAGGAAGGCAGTAAGTTGTATAGTTATCTCCTGAACGGGGTGCATAATCCTGATCCCCAACAACAACACAACTTACTACCTCACCACAGCACAGCCAGCAGGAGAAAACACTGGAATACAAGATAAGGAGCAATATTGTACACCTGAGATATAATGCAAATATGTTTATAGTTAAGTGATTAAGACAGCGATGTGGATCAGATATTTTCAGTCTGCTAATTATCTGAGCTATTTCCAAGTTAAGAGTGGATTCCCTTTGCAGCAGATGAAGATGCCGAGGTGGTATGGCGTTGCCATAGGAAAGACAGTAGACTGTATAGTTATCTCCCAGATCTGGTGTGATCCTAAAACTATACAAACTACTACCTCATCCCACAGCACGCTTTGCTGGCAGCTTGGCTCTTGGTGCCCATCACTGAGATGTGTCCATTACAGACAGGTCCAGGAATTTCAACATTAAGAAAGAAAGAAAAAATCTTTACAAATGTCAGTACCTGCAGTGTTCTCTGCACCATTAACTGCCCCCAATCCAGAACCCTAGGGACAAAAACAAATGACATTAGCAAAAAATGTATATAACTCTCAAAAGGTACACACACACTTCTGTTTGAAAACTCTCCCTCCTACACAGCCAACAAATGTATTATTTGCCAACCTGTAGGCTCTGTTCCCTGGCCTGTTCTGCTCCAGAGGCCCTCCTCTCATTCTGCTTAGACTCCTCTTCTTCAGCCAGCTGCCTCCTTCTCTTCTCCCTCCGCTCTTCTAGTTCCTCATCTCGTAGACTCTCCAGATGCTGCAGGATAGGTACCTTCACCACTGAAAGCAAACACAGATATCAGAATTCATCCTTGGTTGTGGCTGTAACTTAAAGGTGTTAACAAGTCACAGTTAATTCCCCTTAAGGTTAAGACAATAAACCTGATGCTCTCATTAAAATTAGTAAAACATTTAATTGGTCATAAATTGGGAAGAAATTACAAATTGATGTATGATTAAATCATATAATTCACTCCAATTGATTCTCTCTTTCTGAATCCCCACTCGATTCTGTCAATATAGTCACCCAAATGAAGGTTCTCTTGCTGAATATCAAATATGCAAAAACTAAACTGCCAAGTGCCATGCTTTGGGTTTCCCAAGAAAACCTGCTGGATCCTATAGCAATTCAAATACTTGACTAAAAGGTAGGTCACTCAGACTGTCTAAATTACGTTTATGTTCATCATCAAGTATATACAGAAAAAATGCCTGCATGCTGTAGTCAGTATCTCCCATTCTATCAGGCCATTTATATAACCATGCCATCAACAAGTGAGACAAGATGTAATTATGGTTGATAAAAATGTGTAATGTGTGTATAGAGCTGAGTAAATACTTCTATCTACTTGGCCATCATATCCAAATTTTAGTGATCAAATTAACAAAAATTTAAGTATTTTCTGAAAGCAACAGTAGCCATCCCAAAAATATTGTCACATTAGCAATACTGAGGTACTTGGTCATAAACATTTTTAGTGATACTATCAAATTAATCTTCACAGAGTTTCCAGTCTTCAACTAACCCACCTGCTACACAGTCATGCATACTCTCAGCATCCAGCACTTTACACTCATCTGTCCATCTAGTTAAGGCAGTGGGAATACTAGAGAGGGTGCCTAGAGAGACAGAGAGAATAAACATGTTAGGAACTCAGGCTAATACTAAATCAAAAGACCATTATATTAATGACAACCTATAGTAATTCTCACCTGCTTGTCCCCCAGTACTGCTCTGCTCATGGAAAAAGTCATCCAATAACTCATCATCAGAACGAGCAATGATGTGCACATCTTCATTTCCAACCAAAAGGCGGGCACGACCACGAGACTGCAGAGGTAGAGAGCTGGACAGCTGTAAAATGTCAGCTGCAGCACTGGGCCCCAACAATCTAAACAAGGGAGTAGAGGATAAAAGAGACATTTTAATTAGCAATGTTGCTAAAGCGAAGTAGATGTTGCAAAAACAGATGTGTTGTGCAGCCACCAAAAAAACCTGCTTTCACCTTTGCAAAATGAGTGGTGGGTTGGGCTGCCGATTGCCAGGGTAGTGGACATGGATGGTGTGTCCACTGTTGGCAGTGAGCTGTCGCAGAGTGCGCTGGCTGCGACCCATTCCCTGTGCTAGGCGGCTGCTAGTGCCTGCCACACCTAGGGTGAGGGAACCGTGGTCAGCATGGCGCACCATCAGTGGGTGGGAGCTGGGGATGTTGCCTGGGGAAGGAGGGATGTCAGCTGATGGAAAAATAACAGAAAACAGTAGGCAGACATTAGGGGAACACCTGGCACAACCTGGCACAACCCCAAGTAATGTTCATGAAAAATCTAATTATTTTCTGCATCAACTCTTTTATTGTGTGTGCCTGTAACTCCAATAATTTGGGATGTCCCAAGTTTTAGTGAGTGATGCAAGCAGAGACAGTTTGGAGGAGGGCTACTGGCTGATAGACCTTATTCACAAAAGAGATTTTGCCGTAGCATAACAGGAAAAAGCAGAAGTGTAATTGATAACATTTAAAACAAACGCATTCCATTTTGGTGAGCTAGTTCCAGAGTCCTGGTATTGTGCGTGCTGGAACTGAGCCATTATTAACAACATTTGTTTCTAAAATTTGTTGCTATTCCTGCTATGACAAGTCAAAATGCCTGCTGTGACAAAGGTCTTGTTGTGTATAGATGGAGATTGAAGCCCAATTGTATAACATTAAGATGGACTTCCATCCAAAGCATTGAGCAGTCTCAAATGGAGATTGGGAGGTAAAATTTGAAAATTCCTACAATTAATAAATTTAACCTTAGTGACTGTTAGTGCTACATGATCCTGCTTACCATTGTTGGAGAACATGTTGTCAAACTCTATGATGAGGTCATCATCCCTGTCAAACCTTTCGAAGCGGATGTGTGGTGCAGCATTGATGTCAGGGAAATCCTCGTCCAACTCCATCTCTGAACCTTCATCATCATCATCCTCATCTCCTTCTTCATCATCCTTGAGGGAAAGTAGCAGCCTTGAGTCTTAAGGATAAACAACAATTAAGACTTCTTAACTTAACTTCATTACATTAATCCATACCTGATCCTCTTCCTCCTCTTCTTCCTCCTCCTCCTCTTCATCCTGGCTGTCTTCATCATCATTACTGCCACTAGAATCTTCCTCCTGTGTGTGTTCCTCATCTTCTGGTTCCAGTATGTTCATGGAGTCTAAGGGAAGAGAGAAACACAGTCCTATAGAAGTACATCTTATAAACTGAAGTCATCAGTAAGCCCAAGTCAAGTCAAATTTCATTTATATAGCCCAAAAATCACAAATTTCCCTCAAGGGGCTTAGCAATCTTTATAGCATTTCAACACGCTGTCCTTAAACCTTCAAATCAGACAAAGCCTCCAGCACGGAGAAATAAAAATGGAAGTTGTGTGATGTTATTTATCATGATAAACATGCAATATTCTGATGTGTCAATGTCTGATTACCTTCCCGGTTGGCCTGAAGAGTGGATGCCTGGCTAATATTGGAGGGGGCCTCATCCATCAACACGTCCTCTTGTGATTCATCTTCACCACTGCGTCCCACTGATTGACAGAACAGATAGCAAGTGATACACTTGTTTATTTGCAATACAAGTACCAGCACTCTGGAATCTCATATCTGTGAATCTGTGATTCCAGATGTCAGGTACTCTTTTTATTGATTTTTTATTTTTTTTAATCCAGCACCTATCCCACTGAGGGTTAGAGGGTGCACACACCTGTTCTAACCTTTTCTTTGCCCGTTTACCGTCTATACCTGCTGACCCTTCCCAGATTAATTCAGTGACTTACCTATAATTGCGCTGTTGACAGTACCAGCATCTCTCTCCAACAGCTCATCAATCAGATCCACCAACTCATTTTCAACCTAAAAGCACAGAAAATTATATAAAAAAGTGTCTTGTTGCCAAGCTATCTTTGGTCATACCCACTTATGTTATGACCAGTAATTATAGAAGTTATAGCTAATGTGGTGAAATACTATTTGAGTATTTTGTGTAATACGACATCATTCACCTGCATAGCCTGTGTGCTGAGAACCTCAGGCTGACCAGCAATGACTACAGTGTCTCCCTCCGTCTCTCCATCCATCAAGTCGCTGTCTGTTCCCTGCACCCTGTGGTTGCCCTCCACTGGCTCTGCCTCCCCAGACTCTCCTGGAACACATGTCACACATCAGCAACAGACATATTTAAAATCACTGGATCTATAGTTTTGAAATATCTCATCTGACTCATGCCGATACCTTGTTCCTGAGTGTTGCTGTTGCTGTCCCTGGCCGTGCCCACAGTATCATGTTCAGCCTTGTTCTTGCTCGAGCCTCCTTTGCCCCCAAACAGACTGCTAGGTTGGTTGACGATGCGGGACAGAGTCTCCAGAGGCTTCAGGGCAGCATTCACTGTGTTGGCCATGTTGGGACTAAATCAAATGATGTAAATGAAGAATATGGAGTTATTTTATCCTGATTATGATGCAAATCATTTTTTGCAAAGCCAACTTGATTCTGAAATATAACTACCAAACAAGTTGAGTTATTGGGTTTACTAAGCAAAAAAATGTTGATCCAGAAAAGCCAAGGTTACAAACAGGCTCAGTCAGCCCTGGGTTTAGGTTGCCATGATCATCTATCCCAATTTAAATTGAGCTGGCTAAAGTTAAAGGTTTCCTTTGGAGTTTTAGACCACTAGTGGTGCTATGGAGCTGTTTTCTTAAGAGTGGGTCTCTATTTTGTTTGTCTCATGCTCATGTACACATGCTGGTGACATGGTACACAGTCTACCCAATGGTGACACTATTCCATTGATCTACAGATGGCAGTAATATGCCAAGATATGTGGCAATGTGACAACGAACGGAAGAAGAGGAATGCAAACTAGTAGACATGGATGTTAAATACTTCAAACTAAAAATACTTACTTCAAAAGTACTTATGGTCACTTGTCACATTTGTTTGACCTCAAGGACACACTCAGTGCATTTTGGTGAGAAACATTGAATATAAATGTAACTTTAGTTGCTTAGAAGAAAACTCCAAAGGGCCCATTTAACTGACTAATCCACAGATCAAACTTTGTGATGCAGGCCCCCACTCTAGTGCTATCTGAAGTGCAAAACAATTCGCAATTTAAATTAATATGGTGTATACCTGGACAAATCCAAGCTGTGAGGCACACGGGCCAAGTCGTTAACCAGGCCTTTCTTAAGGAAGAGCCTTATGATATTGTTCATGCCATTGTGTTGTGTCTTGGCTGCTGCAGTGCTATAGAAGCTTGATGTGGAGGGACATGATTCCATGATGGTGCTGATGATGCACATCACAGCCTGAAGTCTGAGAAATAGAGAAGCACGGGTTTGTAAAGATCCTTATAATTCATCATTCATTCATTCAAGGGTTATAGTATCAATATCAGGTTGGTTTACATGTCTTTTATGCTGTTTACCTGGCATGTTTTTCTGCACCTTCCGCCATTGCTAGAGCTCTACTAAGGGCGGCCTTCACCTCATTGACTAGGGCAACCTGGGCATCAGTGCCTGTGCCAGCAGCTGCAAGGCTGGCTAGGAAGAGACGTGCCAAGGCTGGGGTGTCCTTGTCCTCCGAGTTCTGGGTGTGGGGCAGCAAGTGGTCGAGCACAAAGGCTAGAACACTGCAATCCTGTTAGGATACAGGGAGGTCAAAATGGGTTAAGGGGAAAACATTATATTAAAAGGCAGGGCAATACAGAGCTGCGAAGGGCTGACAACATTTTGTTTAACTACCCACCTCCTTAATAAGCTCGGACTGTCCAGCAGTGTAGCAGTAGGAGGCAATTAATGTGGCGATACCCACATATGAGCGCACCAGTTCAGCCAGCAGTCTCAGGATGGTGGAGGTAGGCATTAGAGGCTTGCTTGCTTTAACTTTGGCAGCTTTACCCTCATCTGAGCTGGTACCTTTCTCTCCCTCCTGTTCCTTCTTCTCCTCCCGCATCTCTTCGGGTGTGGAAGCTAACGCAAGACAGAATGATAGGATGCATCATGTACAGTTCACACACTAATATAGGGGACTTTCTTGAATTAATGAAATGAGAACTCAAATCAAGACAAAAGTTAAGACAAATTAATTTTACACCTTGTCTGGTGCACATTTTTGGTTTATTTGGGACCAAAAATCCAAAATCTTAACACAGCAAATAACCATGAACAAATCAGAGCAAGGTTAGGCAGTATGTATATGAAATGAGCATTTTCGTCAAATCATTTATTTAATTTATTGGTGAGCTAAAACAGTAGAATTAGAATAAAAACTACAGACTGACTGTGCTACACTGCTAACATACAGACTTTTACCATTCCATACATTGCTTTGCAATAATTGACATTAACAAAGCTATTAGACTGACAGTTAATTAAATGTGAGGAGAGATAACAGTATCTGATATGTGCAGTTACTTCGTTAAAAGAAAATTATTCTCACCTTCTCCTTGTGGTGTGCCAGACTGAGAAGACTCAGCCACACCTCCATCAGCAGCAAACACTTGAGTCTGAGAGAGAGAGACACGGCTCTATTATTAAATGAGGAGATGGCACATTTGACGTTTCAATACACAAGCTGAACAGGCGTACTTGTCATTGAGACTCACATTGATATGGAATGCAGACTGGGAGTCAAAGTCGCTGCCCTGCCGGGTGAGTCGGTACTGCTGATAAACGTCATCACCAACATCCTGCAATATCTGGCACAGGTCTTGACCACCAGGCACAGCTGCTGCTCGTTCTTCTGGACGCTCAGCTGTGCCACACAAAAGCCCACACTTAGCTGAAATGTTCAAATGACTTAAAATTATATATACACCCTTCAAATAGATATTGATAACATGTCTTACGTTCTTCAGGAGCATGGTAGGCAGCCAAAGCATTGAGCATGTCATAGATGACCTCCTTGATAGTGTCAGGGATAGGAGGTAAGGGGGAGAGTTTCAGCGGAGTGGTCTTCACCAGCTGCACTGCATTGGGCCCCTTAATTCGAAGGTTCTCAAACTCATCGTCAGAGGCTGAAGAAAAAAGATCAAGTGTCAGTTTATTGGGGTTAAAAATTGAGACACAACCTTAAAACTAGATCAACTCTTAGTACAAGTAGCTTTAAATCTAATGGAGTTACTACACCTACTAAAACTAAAGTCTACCAAAAGCTTGCACACTCACCTGTGCCAGCTCCACGTGGTGCAGGCAGAGCAATGCGGACACAATTGCTGGCAGTTTCAGCAAAGCATTCAGGGTTACGGCAGGCGGCAGGGCCGAGCACACGAAGAATGTAATTGATTTCTCTGGAACCAAGGCTGCCAGACACCACTCCTGAGGTGGTACTGCCTGCTCCGCTGGTCACAGCTGACCTCACCACCTATGGCAACATATTGTTGAGTTATTTGATTTTGTTATCAACGTAACATAGATGTATTATTCAGAAAATGTCACATTCAACAAAACAAATTGGTGGTGAAAGATACCGTGAGCTCCATTTAAGCAGCGTAAGAATAGACTAACCTTTTCCATAGTGTGCCGGAGTGTGGCTGGATCTTCTATGATGTGTCTAAACAGCAGAGTAACTAGCGGGGTGAAGCCATTGAAGCCAGAGCTCTGCGTAAGCCCCAAAATCATCCTTGTGCTCTTCAACTCAGCAAACATCATAGCATAGTGGTGATTGCGCGTCAGACGCAAACAGAGACGCAGTGTGGCGTGGAGGGTGTCTGGGTCCACAGGAACACTTATCATACTGACACAGGCCCGAATAAGAACGGTGGTCATGTCCTCAGTCAGGCCTTGTACAACAATATCGGAGCGCTGAGAGTAATCACACTCTAGGGTAGTGGTGGTCTCCTTCGGCTGGCTGGAATCATCCTTAGGAGCACTCATCTCCACTGCTGCCCCTGAGTCCAGGTCAGTCTGGGTTTCCTCCACTTTGCTCCTGTCTGCCTCCTCTCTTTCAGAGTCAGTAATGCTACCGGTCTTGGCAGGCTTGGGCATGCGAGGCACTCTCTGGACTGTCAACATCACTGGCCTCCTGTTACAAGTCTCCTCGTTTACCTGTCCGAGAGTGTGGATTTAATCAAAGGAACCCAGCCAACTCTACTAAACACAACCAACCATGAGATGAAGATTTTTTTTTTTTTTTTTTTTTTAAAGTATAATCTTTGTGTATTCTCTGAGAGTGGAGAAAGATCTTTAAGAGTTTGTGTGTACCTGCACCATGGTGTTAAACTGCACGGTGTATCTTCGGCGTCCAGCTGTGAAGCGAACACTGCTTTCCCCAGCTCTCCAAGCCGAGTCAATGGTGCTGTTGTTTGATGCACTGTAACTGCACCAACGGCCAGAGCGGTCATCAAACCATCGCCAGTTATTCCCATTGGGCTGCAGATACTAAAGGTAGACCCAGAGAGAATTCAATAACTGTACAAAAGAGATGCACCAACTAACACCAACACCTTACAATGGAATGTACAGAGTTTATTGCAATAAACTATCATATGTGCTGTTAAGTAACAACATACAAAAAGTTGTTTTTATTTTTTTTTATTTACTCTCTTCCAACATGGTTGTCTATACCTGTACTTGTAACTAAGTCTAACTATTTAAGTATAATATTTTTGTAAGCTGTATCCCTGGCTTTGTTTTATAAGGTTTAGTTGCACCTTGTTCATTTGTTCTCTGCGCTTTGAAGAGACTGCCATCTTCTCATAGAAGTCAATGATCAATAGTACTGGTGTGATCCATCTGCAGAAAAAGGAAGTTATTTTATATAATAAATATAACAAACATATTAAGTCCCTCATAGTGAAAAGCTGGTTTAACATTTACAAGTTAAGAGAGATATGTAGGGCTGTGCAAAACTCACTTTGGTGTCTGGATGTCTTTCTGTTCTTTAGCAGCCTGCAGACAGGGCTGCACAACTTCAAGCAGCTTAATCAGCAAATCAAGAATCCCACTGTTTTCGACCACTCTGGCACCCAACAGCTTTAGTTCCTTTCAAAACAGAAAAGCACATATGATTGTTTGGGATTTGTAGAGAAACAATGACAAAAAATGAGTGAACATTTCTATGATATATGATCTACGAGTGAACATTTTAAGGCTAGAACTTTCAGAATGTGTTTTTCTGTTACCTCAAAGAGCAACGTGAGCAGCAGAATTCGTGTTGCCAGCTTTGAGGCCTGGGGCAGTGTAGCCATCTGTCTGGTCCACTCAGACACTGTCTTTGTGTCACTGGTTGTCAGGGGCTCAGCTGCCTTGATCAGCACATCTGCTGCCTCCCACACCTACACACAAGATGAACACAATCAGGCTGGTACAAATATGTTGTGCCTCTATTGTCAAGATTTACTAAAAGCTCAAAGTTTAAAGATGATTTTAAAAAGATGTTTTCATGGTCACTTGTGAAGAATGATAAAAACACAAAAATGCATAATTGCTTACAGAGCTGCATTTAAATTCAAGATATGTCAGGTAGTTGCTTAAATCATTTACTCTAAAATATCTAGCAGTTAATTACAGAGATAGATTGTATTCAACTGAATGTAAATCTGCATCTGACAACTTTCACTTTGCTATTTAAGCTTTCAAAAACATTGACAGTTAATGTAGGCCAGTGCTTTGGAAACATAACAGGCTCCAGAGAGCAGTGTGCAATTTAAACATGCATTTATCCACATACCTGGTGGACAACCTGCCCAAGGATGAGCTCTCTGTACTCTGGGCCACTCCTCTTGATGGCAGTCATCAGCAGGTCACAGAGTCGGTAGACTGTGTCAGGCAGCTCATCCAGAAGATGGAAGCAACCAGGCAGCATGGAGTCAGTGAAAGTATGCAGCTCCTGGGGGTCCAGTGGCTCAGCTTCCATGAAGCGCTCTAAGCAGCGGGCCTCTTCCTCTTCTGCCCGCTCCCTGGCTCTCCTGTCGTCCTCCTCACGCCGACGTGCTGCTTCCTGCAACAGACACAAAAATAATCTCAACAGGTGTTCAGGTTAAGTTAAGTTTTTCATTCATGAGATAGCAACAGATGGTTTAGAGCAAAACTGTTTTTCCATGTAATTTGAACAGTGAGAATGACGCACCTCAGGAGAGTCAGACCGTTGCTCCATGCTGACCTCTTGACCAAGTGACATGGCAATGGCCCTCATCATCTGGTCCTCCTCAGACATAGTCAGGTCCTAGATGGAGTAAGAGCAACAATATAAGTTGCCTGAGTTTGACTTGTGAATATTACAAAGAATGGAAGTATGTGTGTTTCTGTCTATGAAGCCTTACTCTTACTGCTCCACCAAGAAGTGGAGGAGGGTGTGTAAGTAAGTATTCTGTGGCCTGCTCCATGGTGCTGGTGTTCAGTAGGGCCTCCATAGCATGCTCTCTTGAGAAACCCATATCCATCAGCTAGAACAAAAACAAAAGAGGAAGTCATATTTTTACAAGAGTAAACATAGCTGGTGTCATGAATGAAGGGCAAATAAAAATTTTAGATTATGATTAGGACTGACAAATCTCATTAAAGATGAGGAAAAGTCAAAGATGATATTATGAAGGACGAGGATACATTCTTCCAGTTACTCCTGCTCATCCCATCTTTTTCTAATCATGACTGAGAGGCCTCTACACACAACCTCTCTAATCAATCCCTTTTCCTTCACAACTCTATCCTGATATTCTGCCTCAAAAAGGTCTGAGTAATACAGTAATGTGGTCCAAAGTCTTCTCTCCCTGTCCTTGTTCAATCAGTTCGTCCTGTCCTACCTCTATCCTTCACTCCTTCTCTCTAACCACCTCTTCTCTCAATTTCTCCACCTTTCCCTGATGGCTCCGATACCTGCTGGAGCTGCTGCTGGCGGACCTGTGCGTGCCTCTCTCTCCCTCTGCATGTTTCCTGTTACAAAACAAATGGTGGCCCAGGATTCAGTGGATGCTAGGATGTATGGGGAGGATGATTGCTAAACAAACCTCCATTCCAACCTCCAGTTTAGTTTCTTGCTTACATGGCCAACTAGACATGTAATTATGCAATAAACCTGTGCTGTTAATCTGTCTGCAGTAGTGGAACAGAAAGCTAAAAATATCAGCAAGGCTGCAGGAACAAACGACAGCTGTAAGCAGAAAGAGCTGTTGGTCAAACCACAAATAATAACACAAAATTTAAGACAAAACAAACAAAAGTACACAATTTGTCCCCAGTTGTTCCAGCACTAACACCCAAAAGAAGAAGATGAAAACCCGGTATCATGACACAGTGTGTACAAATAGTACTTGATTCTAATGCATAAAAAGATAAAAAAGAAACAACCAACATCAAAAATCAACTGAGAAAGATGTCAGTGTCAGACAGGTTTTACATACCTGTGTAAGCTGAGCCTGATTAACCTGGGGTTCACGACGGGGCGTGGAATTGGTTGAATCATCAGCTGATCCTCCTGCTGGCACTCCAGAAGTTGTTCCAGTAGGTGCTGGTGCCTCTCCACCTGTTGTAGTTGCTCCAGGGGCTCCGCTGGGTCCCAAAGAACCAGTGGAAACCCCCTCATCATCTGGCCGCACTGTCCCCTCTCTCTCTTTGGCCAGGCGCTCCTGGATAACAGGCTCCCCTCTTAGGATGTGGCAGAGGATGGCTAGCATGGATTCAGCCATCCTGCCTCCATACACCTTCAGCGGCTTCCTATTCCACAGACTGCGGATGCAGTTGAATGCAGCCTTGATGAAGGAGAGACTGTGTTACAATAATACCACCAACATATATTCAACTCCACCTCTCATACCTGGACAGAAAAATGCTCCTAAACCTGGAGGCCTATACAAGACTGTATGAGAGATACAGTATGTTGCATTTCAACAAGGTCATGTTTACCATGTTCACAAGGAGTCCAAATGAACTGATTGATGCTGTTCCATTTATTTCTATAACTTGAGGTCTAACATTTTCTTCATGGTGTTAAAATGCAGAAATGCATAAAAGAGAAAAATTAACATTTTTCAAATGAGAACAGGTAGGACTCCAACAGTCTTTCAGTCTTTCCAACACATCTTTCCCGGCCCCTGTACCCAACTACCATGTTCTCATGAGTTTAAACAATTAAATGCCATGCATTATGTATAACTGTCTTTCCATGTTGAACACAAACTTACAGGTTGCAGTAGACTCATTTGAATGATGTAGATACTGACCTTCTGGGTGACTATGAGGAACCGAAGGGCGCTGAACTGGGGCATGGTAGGTGTGACCCCAGGCATTTTAGCTGGCAGGGAGTGGGGTGAGTCCAGCACAGTGCTTGGATTCACCATCTTCTCCACCAGCATTAACCAGGCATCCAGGAACTCCCCTGTTCCATCTGGTAGGTCAGTATGCTCCAGACCCTCAGAAACAGGCACTTTCCCACCCATCGACAGGGCCCAGTTAAATGTCCTGTAGAAAAGGAACACAACCAATAAAACTCCTGTCAAACATAGAAATTAGAATGTTATGGATATCAGCAATCAACATCTGAAGATACAGTGAAGATCCTGAACATGATATGTCACCACCTGGTGGGACTTACTCAAATAAGGCATCATGCCCCCCAGAGCAAAAGAACTTTTGCAGCATGAGGTGGTAGGGGTACTTCCTCTCATCAAACAGCATGGGAGATGTGAAGCCCACTGAGCAGATGAAGAAAGTCAGCCTGCCAGGCAAAAAACACACGTAATATTACCTCTGTGTACAATGCACATATTAACAACGGCAAGCGGTGGTAGTAGTCTGTTCTTTACCTAAAGCGAGGAGTGGGTGTGTAGGGTGGGGGTTGCCAGCTCAGACCCTTGGTGAGGAGCTTGGTAAGAGCAGAGGCAGTGGCCCGGGCAGCAGGTGTGGGGGTAGTGCCTGTGCTTGTGGCATGGTGGGAGCGGCGTTGGCGGACTGGAGAGCCCACGCACAGCTTCACCAGCAAGCCGAACAGCTCAGCCAGAGCCCTACCTAGTCGAGATGAAGCTGGAAAACAAACAAGGAGGTCAGTGAGACATTCAAGTCATTTCAAAGGTAATTTAGGACATTTTAAAAAA